TGACTTTTTAATGAAATGCCCAGAAAGTGTGTGAATCTGAACCATAACCTCATCCTGTTTTATATTGCCTCTGAAGGAAACCAAGCGATGGAAGCAGAATCTAGCAGACCTGTGGAAGTGGCCGCGCTTGGCCGACCTTTCGGCCTTGGGATGCTGTACGACTGCCGAAGGGATTTACTCATTCCGGGTGAGAATTCACAACTTTCTGCAGCAAATGTTCAAATCAAGAAACAAGCCTCTGTTTGAAAACACACAATGATGCTTTATGGGGAACATTATTAGAGAACATGCCAAACAGAAACATTCTTTTATTTTATAAGGATAGTCAAGTTCAAGAAGACACGTCCTTAATAGCACAGAATAATGTGATGTACTTCCATTGACCAAAAGAGTGGTAACGCTTCTTGCATGGTAAAACAACGAGCTGGCATGCAAGAAACACTATTCAGAGTAATATTAACAATTATATGCATTTTACTGGTGACAAAACTGATGTATCTCAGCCAGGTTTGTAGGCCAATTCTCTTTCACGCACCTTTTGGTTCTTGTTCCCATTAATATAATTATATCTCCAACTTACAAATTTAAATCTCTCAAAGGTGTTAACTGAAAAACGGAGCCATTTTGACTTTTAAAGCAGTCAGCCGCTGAGTTGCTATAGAGGTTAACTAGTCAGATCCTATGTTTATTTAGTCAAACACAGCAGCAATGTGGATTATTTCATAATATACAACATAATCTGGGTCAGATAAAAGTCAGGCACAGACAGGAAATGCGACTTAGGGCATTACCGGCCATGTGTTTAGGGTTTGGTATGTGACCATTTATGCTGATCACAGACAGGTCAGTCAATAATTGGACAAACCCTTTTGATGCGGACAAGTTTGACCTGAAATGAATTCATTTAGATTTCATCTTCTGTTCATTATTGTTAAGACTGCTTAAGTCATGTTCATAAGGTTCTCACATAATACGCTGGCTAAAAAAGGGGAAATTCATTTTGTAATTTTCCTGAAAATAAAAAGTATTTATGTTAATTTTGTTGGAAAATGACACCACTTTGTTGATCTTATAAAATTACACTTAATGTTCCCTGTTTGGCTTTAATGTTTCATCCTGCTTATCTATGTTTGGAGGCTTGTTATGTTTGGACTGGACCGTTGCTGTCATCAGCTGAGGACAGCCTTCCTTCAACCAGGGAGGCTGGAAATGTAGCGGTCATAAATATCTGGCCTCTCTTTTAAAAAAGCCCAAGTTATCAGTAGAGATGTCACAATTATGCACCACTGCTGCTCTGCTGAGATTGTTTGAGAAGATGGATCCATGGAGGATAGTTTTGGGTTGAAGTGCCAAAACATAGAGAATATGCAATCATTGGGTCTAAATAATGCCCTATAGTACACTTAAACATGTGTTTAACAGAAATGGTGACTGGAATTTTTCTTACCACACATCCAGATTGCCTGGGTATGGATGGGCTATGTACACTTAGATCACAACATTAACCTGAAAAACTGGTTTCACAGAGGCCCCCATGCTGTACTCGGGTAAGAATCATCAACCAGCTTAAAGGAATAGTACACCCAAAACATGATTAGCCTTCATTTTCTACTCACCCCCATGCTGAACAACACTCTGGAGTACTTTTTTGATA